TATAACCCTTTATCATATTTAATCCTTTAAACACCATCTTTTCATTTATTTATCCATTTATCCTTTCATTATCAAAATCTTCTTATATACAAATCATATCTTTATCACCTCTTTATAACGTTAATAACCAACTTCACTTATACATAACCTCATTCTTTACTATCTCTTATAATTGTATTTTCCTTCATCAGCTTCTAATCCATTAACTTAATATACTTCAACTTCATAACTCTGTTAATCAACATCGATTCTTCTAATCTAAAGTGAAAACCTTCATCTAACCATTCATATACATTCTTTGTAATTGGAATTATTTCAACAATTACCAAATCTCAATAATCATCTCACCCCTTTATAATACTTTTCCCGCTTCAATTTTCATAACTCTAACAGAACTTTTAATCTAATTCACAAAGGTTGTCTTTAACCTTGGTTTATTATCAATTAAATCATTGTTTAATCTTTCAGTACCAGACCATACTAATTGAGTCTGTCTGACTCTCATCAGATTTGATTCTCTGGCACAGAATACAACTAATTCATACCTTATCTGAAGTTAAAAACCAGAATCTCTACCTCGCTTTGATGGTACTGAACTCTATGAAGCACCAATTCTCTTAATCATATGAGATTTTTATTCTCCAAACTTTTCGTTCTTAGATCTTTTCTTTAAAGCTTTAACACAATTAACCATTTCTTGAAACGATAACAAATTTAAAACCAGTAACACTCTTTTAATTTAAGGCGCAAGTCCTAAACAACAAATCACATGTATCATTTTCAGTCGGAATTAACTCAGCAACAATTCTACTTAGCTTAATAAACTTATAATCATACTCATACAAGGTGTAATTCCCTTGTTTCAAGCTCGTGTATTCCAGTTTCATCTGTCTTATAAACTGGTCATCAATGCACTTATTCTTGAACTCTTATACAATTCTAATCACATCATTTAATCTTTTAACGTTATTATGATGACAATTGTCCACCATACTCTAACTTACCAAAGTAGTAACAAAACTACTCAATTCAACATCTCCACTTTAAAGAAATGAAAACCTTCTATCATATCATTCAACCAAAGGTCTATAACAATAGAACCTTCCTCAAATCCACCCTTGAACTTGGGTGCTCGCAACTTTATCAACTAATTTGATACATTCATTCTATGAGTTAAAGAAGTATAAATTGAAAACACATCAGAACATTCTTCAACATGAAGAATAATTTTCCAAATTTTATACATGCACTTCTTGAGGTGTTCGTTCTTCTCCATGCCTGGCCAGGGCAGGTGAATGCTATTTCCTTCAAGTTTATTACCTTTCACTTCTTTCGAAGCTCTTATTATCATACTTCTATTATCACATAATAATCTATTTTTATTAACAAGACATCATACTCCTTACACTATCATATCATAATTTTTCACTTTGAGTTGGCATGTATACTTTTTAAAACACTTCTGACTTCGATTTAAGCCTAGAATCGGCTAAACCGTAGCTCTGATACCATTAAATGTAACACCCCTAACTCATATCTGACCCGAATACAAGTCTGAGGTGTCACATTGACTTTTCAAACTTTTATTCGTATAAAATAGTGAGTAATTTAAAAACTTTTATAACATTTAACTTATTCAAAACGATTACAAAACTATTCAGAGCTTATACAATATATCTTTTTGAATACATGCTAACTAGAACTTTATTTATTAAAGTACATATTAATCACCTCTTTTCTGATCTGACATTGAGTAAGGAGAACTGACCTATCTTACTCCACATTGCTCTTTACTCTTCTCCATACCTACGTGTAAATCACTTACACGCTAAGTCATTGACTTAGTGAGGCATATAAACATATAATAAAAACAATAGAACATTTCGTATAACAAAACACATACATGTACAAATATTATCATTATCATTAACATATTTGTCATATGCATTTTTACGTAATAAATATACTCATGCACATATATCATCATATAATACCATACATTCTTCCAATCAATACCTATTTCATCTTATGAATATGCATTCTCAATATTTAATCATGACATTTCAATATGCATATATCTATTACACGATAACATATCTAATCATATCATGCACATACGAAACTTACCTTCTTGTACCACTTTCACTTTAAAGTTTGTATTTCAATTGCCCATGTATATTATTGAGAATAAAGGTATGTGAGTGCATTGAGGTTGTGCACTAATGATGTCACCACAGCTCGTATCAATTCCCTCATAAGGCACCGAACCTTAGTTCAGTATTCGTCCCGAAGGACTATTATCTATGTCCCGTAGGACTCCTACATCCCGAAGGACTACGTCCCAAAGGACTATTATACCCTCGACTCTTGGCATGCCAATTACACCTATAGTTCTCATATCGTATACTATGGGCATTATTCTTAGATTTTATATGTTCATGTACTCATGTCATTTCTCTTGTGATCATGTAGCTCATGTCATGTTCTCATATCACATATCATATCACATGTATTCACGTAGATCGTTTCATATGACTCATATCATTTCTCATATGTTCATATAACCATGCATGTCATGTCGAGTAACATATATCATATGTTGCATTTTCACGTAAGCATGTAACTTATGTAACATATCATCCATCCATTTCTATGTACTAATGCACACATAGTAATCACATAACATTTTAGAAGTTGCTTCTTACCATAGTAACTCTATCATTGGCTCATCGCAAGCCAATGTTCATTCAATAACATAAGCACAATTTAAATTGCACTCACCTTAGCTTTGCTTTGATTCGATTATAATCCTTTAATTGATCCGGAACGGGATCACGTTCTATATCTACATCATCATACATATATATCTATATTAGTATTATAACTAATATACTCTAATGGTTCACTCTTTAGACTAAGAGAAAAGGCAATTTCATCTTTTAATGAAGGTATGCATCGATGCACTACTGATGCATCGGTGCATAAAATGCATTCGATGTTGTATTATTACTGGGATGCATCGATACACTACTTATGCATCGATGCACGAATTGCATTCGATGTATTTATTTTAAAAGAGTGCATCGATGCACTTCCTGTGAATTGATACATCTTCAAACGATTTCTGGGTTTTAATCTTGATGCATCGATGCACTATGAATGTGCATCGATGCACTCTGCCCAGAACCTCTTTTTGAACCCAAAAATTCATTCATTTTGGATTAAATCATTCATGCTTCATCCCCTTTTTCCTTCTTAACTCTAGTGCACATACTTAAACCAATATATACTCATTTATTTCATCTTAAACCTTAATATTTCTCTCATCTTTATTAACTTCAAGAATCATACCAGATTTTTAACATGTTTTAAATCTAATTCTAACACTCCATATTCCTTAATTAGATTGATGACAAGTCAAATTCCTTCTCAAAATTCACTTACTAACTCTTTTCCAGAATTTCCTTTAAAAACTCATTTTCTTTAATCTTTCATAACTTCTTTATCTTTTGATTTTAGAACAACTTAAGCTTTCCATAAGCTTAAGTATTACCTAATGATCAAAACTCACTCTTAAAATTAACAAATAATCAGCTAACAAGGAATCTTACCTTTGCAAGCTTGGCTCTTCTCTCTCTCGTACATGAAGAAGAAGAAGAAGAAGATGAAGATAATATCTCTTCATCCTTATCCCCTCTAACATATATATCCTTATCATATCTATTTTTGATTCATTTATTAGTCAAATGACCATTTTGCCCTCTACTTCATTTGATAATTACTAACACATTTTAGGATTTATTTCCAGATAAATCATTGAACTAATCCATTCTTCTACTTTAATCACCAAATTTATGAAACTTTACCATTTAGTCACTAACCCATAGTTTGGGATGTTACAATTGGTCTATTGAATTCCTGACTATTAAAAATTATAAAGTGGTTTGGATTATAGAGTATTGCTTTATTAAGTTCATTGACTATTAAAAATTACAAAATAATCATATGACTATTCATATGTTTCAAACTCATATTTTTTCGTTAAAAAATTTATGATCGCCTGAGCTAGACGTAACCATGTTGATTAAGATATGATAAAATTTGATTACAAAATTGTTTGAGTTATATTTCATGGATATACTGTTTATAATATATAGTCAATCTAGTGCTTGAAATATTATATTATCGAGCCAATGTTTGAAAACAACAACAATACCAATAGACACCATTAAAATATAATTTTATAATATCTTAATTAGCAAGTTAACGTTCAACCCAAATAATCGTCAATTTTTTAACAAAAAAAGACAGGTTTGAAACATATGAATAATCATCATTTGGTGGTACAGAAATTGTTGTTATATCTAGAGATCTATGGTTCAACTACTAAGAATACAAAGGGTATGAACATTCAATGTTAAATGGTTAAGAGTTATTTTTTGAACATATACTACATTATACTAACCCAACTCAACAAAATAACACCCTTTTTCAAAAAAAAATATTTTTTGCGAACTTCAATACCGGCCACAGACATGTAATTCATTCAGTTCCACGGCGACCCTTCTCCATTCCATGGCCGCCGAAACCATGGATGGTCCACCACAGTCATCAACGGCTAGGGCCGATGTATCCCACCGGTCTGAAACTCCAGACGACGCCTTTTTAAGCTAAGTTTAAGTTTGATGAATTGGTGTTGAAATTACAAAAGCAAACATTCATGTTTCGAGATTTGAACTTCTTGTTCCAAATAGTTACTCCATGATTAATAAAGTTAAAAGTTAAAACCCATTATGGGATTCCAATGGGGCGTTGACAATATCTGTGCCTTGTTAAAGAGAAGCAGCCTCGAACACCTCATCCTCCGTTGTCTCCAAGGCGTGAATAGAAACAATCCATGGGAAATTTTACAAAAATATTTGTCAATTCTCTTGAGAACCTTACCAACAGATCATGTTGCAGATTGATAATGCCAAATAGAGGAATATATATAACACTTATTCAATTAATTTCAAATTGACCATTGGTCTAATATTTTAGACGGCTGAGAATATCTATATACAGAGAAACTATACCAGTAAAAGCCTGAAAGGTCACATGTTAGACATAAAGCCACAAATGTTATTTAATTGAAGCACAACATTAACATGTAAATAAAGTCACTGCATCAACTCAGCTGCTTCCAAATGTATTTTCCCCACTGTATGTAACATACAGAAACCCATCTTCATCTTTCTTTTCATCATAGATGGTAGACATTATTGCTCCTGCAATAATATATTTTCAGCGATCAGAATTGAAATGCCGTTTAGAATTATTCAAATAGAAGAAAATTTCCAAGTGGAATGAATACCTGTTGGGGGGAGGACATTGTCAACAAAAATAAAGATAGCCTTTTCAGCACTCAGTCTAATTCTTTTCCGAATCACATACACAAACTGACCCACCGTCAGGTCAGCCGGAACTAAGTATCTGGAAATCATTTAATAAAGTCGAGTCAAGTAACACTAGTGGTTCCTAAAAGTGGATGCCAAAATTGTATTGAAAGAACTTAATATGCAACAGCCATACACTTGGAGGCTATTGGCTAGTAATGGTGTAATAAGGAATTTTTTTCTTCTTTTTCCCCAAAAGAAAAAAAAATAAGAACATGTTCAGTAAACTTGGCATGAGACTGTTGCTTACTTCTTCTTGTCAATGGTAGGTATGTCGCTTCTCTCCGCCTTCTCCACAATCACCTGAAAGGCACACGACCAAATTTCAATAGAAGCAAGATTAGGATAACCACAGAGTTATAAATTTCACTTTTTCATACTACACGGATGACATGCCAAACACCCATAAACTAATTCAAGTAGCCTCCATTTAATCGTTCAAGGTTTTAATACAAAGTCTTTTGTATAATTTAGTTCCGGTCGGAATAAAGGCACACACAACTCCACACTTACATGTGCTGCTGTTTAAAGTTTACATGACATCTGTTCTATACATGCAACAATGTCCAGACAGTAATGAAAATCCTACCAAAGCAAATGTTCAACTATGGCTTATAGTCCACAAGTCATACCTCATGAAAATTGAATGAAATACATCACTGGCATTAACAAAATCGATATTGTTAGGCAGCAACATATCATCAGCAAGTCTTCCACAATGATCATGCATTAACATGTATTTAAACTCTAAGTTCACCGATCAAGGGCAAGGGGAAAGGCAATGCCTGATTTACAGTCCAAAATCTAAAGTTGAGCGATGAAACATACCAAGTATGAGCATATTTCTCTGCAGCTTACCCAAAGGCATAATTAGTTCTTAATACAATGGAACCAAAACTCCTACCCAGAGAAAATTCTTATCCAAGCTTAAAAAATTAAAAAGGCATACAAAACTATATGCACAAAGTGTAGACAAACACTGGAACAATCAAGTTCAATATCAGCAAAACATTGGGGGGGGGGGGGAAAGAAAGACAAAGGTACAGATAAATTCTTACAGGAATTCTATCTGGGTACTTTTCCCTGATTCTTGCAGCCTCCGCACGCCTTTTCTCTGCCAATCAATTAAAATCAACAAAATCGATCAGAAATGTTGATACTAATACCAATACACGATCATCAGTAACATACCAAATTCGTGCTCAATTTTGAAGCTGCTTTTAGCCATTCTGCTGATATCACTGCACAATAGGCAACACCATAAAGTCAACTAATACCCAACTTTTACATATTAGCTAAGACAAAAGACACGAACTTTAAAGAAATAAAACCCAAAGTAACAATAAAGATGATGATTATTTTTAAATCACACGCCCGATCATCGTAAATTAAAAAAAAAAACCAAATTTCATCATACGAAACGTACCCGGTTTTGATGAACCCAAAGGAAATCAATAATATTTTGTTAATGTTTGTGTTTCCTCTGGTGAACAGATGCCTAAAATAAAAGGGATAATTGAAGAGATTGGAGAAAAAAGAATAGAGATTGAATTAAAGAGAAAGATGAAGAAATGAACTAACCGACAGAGAAGCTGAGCTGTTGTGTTCAAAGAAAACAAAAGACGGTAATATGAATGAGATGACAGATGGCCCTTTGTGTAATTCTGTGGCTCATTCTTCTCGTGCTTTTCGGTTAAGTTGCTAACCAATAAATGCCACATCATTCTCATTCGCTATTATCTTTAACAAAGCCTCTGTTCATCACCACCATTGGTTTACTTTGACTTGGATGAATAATTACCCATTTAGCTTTAGAGTTTTAGCATATTTTGAGATTGGGGTTTTGTTGTTTCGAGGACTGGTTCTTATGTTTTAAGGATTTCCTTTTACTAAAAATATGATAGGCTAAAAAACAATTTCTTTTGATTAATTTCGGATTCAATACGTTCGGAATTACATTTTAAGATCATTCATGACATCAAGATTTTTACTATTTATATGATAATTGAAAGCAACATTTGCATAAATCAACAAGCCAAAACTAAAACATTCAGTCACAATCACAGTAAATACCATGAATCTTGATTTGAGCAAAGCCCCATGAAAGTCTAAATGGCCTGTGTAGTACTATTACATGCAACTTAGGGAGAAGAACTTGTATATGAAATGTACTCCTCTACTTGACTATAACAGAGTTGCACTGCAACCTCAGTTCCCTTCAGTCAGATTCTTAACAGCATTTGCATGAATCCATCAAATGTGCTTCTGCACTCATTTTCGATATATATATATATATATATATATATATAAACATGGAAGAAATTCTATCTTGTATCCCCTCTTGTGCTATTGATCAAAATTTGTGCGGCAATATGATTTTGACAAATGAGTATGCGAGTGCACCTGTGAACATGTAACTATCCACTCTGTCGAGTATTCCACCTGCTTGACAGTACAAACACAATGTTAATATAGAGATGACAAAACGGAAGGAGATATGATCCATGAATAATTATTCCAGCCAAATAATGAGCAGCTTCTTTTCAATTGTTTAAAGTAAGCAAGGTTCGTGTTCACCCTCAAAGTATCGAAAATTAATTGAATAAATAATCATGAGCAACTACAATTACCATGACCGGGGATTAGGGAGCCAGAGTCCTTGACACCAGCATCACGCTTGATCATTGATTCAGTAAGATCACCAAAAACAGATCCAAAGAAGTTGAGAATCCCAAAGGCTATTGCACTACACCAATGAAAAGAATATGTAAAGTCTCAGGGTTAATGCAGTGAAGTTCATAATACAGCTTCTTTTTTTAGATAATAATGCAATCCAGTAATCCCAGTATTAGACTCCTGGAGTAAATAACAAGTGGTGCTTGCACCGATCCTAGCCAGAGATTTGGTTTCAAAAGAATCAACAATCAGTCATCATTATTACTTACATTCCATGCACCTGTGTGACTAGACATATAGAAAGCTTTGGAATTCAAATTATGACATGCACACTGACTATCAAATGTCTGCATGCATGAAAGTGCAGGAACACGGAAGGATGTAACCATCAGATTACATATGAACGAAAATAAATCAACTTGTAACCCAATGGGGATAACTTAAATTATTAATGGAACTTGTTCTGTCTTCAAACCTAATAGATTCATAAGCTATATCAACAATAAAAAATCTAACTCTTGATCTTGAGACAAACGTCTCGTGCAGAAACTTATACCAGTGCTCTTAAGTTACTATGGACACACTTGCGTGTGAAAAAGAGATCTATTTTTGGACCAAAATATCTTCTAGTACATTACTACTTGTGAGATAGATTGAAAACCTTAGCAAAGAGGCTGGCCAGCTTAAAATCTTTGACAGTACTACAGAAGTTGCTATACAACCACCCAAGCCAACAATAGCTCCTTCCCAGGTCTTCTTTGGACTTATATTAGTAAGTGGTGTCCTGCCAATGGCCTGCACCACAACAGGGTACAAACACAATCACGGTCATGGATGATATGTCCACCAGTTAAAATATGTAACTAGTGTAGCATTCAGAGCATCTTGAAGTCTTTATTTAAATAAGTGAAACAAGATCTTCTTGATCAAGACTGCACATACCTTTCCACCCAAAAACGCATATGTATCTGCTGCTATTATGCTGCTGAACGAAATCAAGGTTGCCACAAGGCCTACTGTCCAATGATCTTGGCCACCAAGAAGATAAGGCCATCCAGCTCCTATTCCTGCCGAAATCAAGCTCTTAGTAAAACAGTTTGGTGAATAGTCATAGACTCATAACCTGTTCCCGTTTCCACAATCACACATGCAAATGAACCAAATGTGAAAATAAAGATGAATGAAGTTTCACATTGAAGGAAATAAAAGGAGCAACATATTTGAAAAGTACGTTACATAGAGGAAATAAAAGCAGTTTTGAGATGCATCATCATCAGAAACTCCTAAATCCTTAACCAAACCACCCAAGTTTTAGCAAAAGCAGTATATAAGTTATTACTGCTTTGGAAAAAAGGGCCATTTTCAGCTATATACTTGTATCTTAACAAATATTACCGATCACTGTTCATAGATAAATTTGTCCAACATTTAGATTTACAAACAGACAAGTGTGAGAAACCATATTCTTACTAGTATTCAAGGCAGGAGCTGCTAAACCACATCTGAGCTTAACCCAGAAACAAGGGAGGTAGCCACAATAAAATAACCCAAACATGGTACTGCTAAGCTGAGCAAAACGAGGGTTTCCTCTTTGCATGAGCAATGCCATAGCCACAACAAATGCAGCAGATGTCACTGAAATATCAATATTCCCAAAGTACCTGGTAATACAGCACAACCTCTAAACAAATTACAACACGGAATATTTTCCAAGAATATTTCACTAGCAAAGTAGGAGTTCCAAGTTTTTAAGGGCAAGGCGTAGCATTCTAAATAAAGATAAAGAAACTAAAACATTAGTGGAAACCATTGTAATACAAAAACATAAATCACTATCTTACAATGTGAGAATGGGCATGAGAGCACATATAACAGAGCAAACTCTTGAGACATATCGTGGCGGAGGTGTCATTCCAGCAGTAATTCCGCGGCTCCTAACCAGTTTGAAATACTCTCGTGCACCGAGCAAAACAGCGGCAGCCAAAGCCACAGTGAAAACCCATCCTCCAGCTAGTACAGCACCTCCAACAGAGATCCCAATACCAAATCCAAAAACGACCCTTTTTCTCAACTGACTTGATTTATGTTGTAGCTCGGAAAGAGAATCCTTTGCCACTGGTAACTCATGGCCTTTGTCAATTTCCTACAACATAACTGTCTTGAGTAACTAACTTTGAACAAAGGTTTACTTTAATTGGATTGAAAATTTTCGATAATATCAATATAACTATGCCTATTTCTAAATTCTACCAATTCCTTCCAAATGGAGTAACTTTTTTTTTTCTCTTTTTAATTCCAGAATTATATAAATCCCTCATAGTCCATGTCCTTTCTCGCTTTTTCTTAAGGAATTTAACTCTTCATGATAGCAAATTCTTTTATACTGACATATCAACTGCAAAATGCAATACTAAGTTTAAATAAATAGATATATATTGACAGAAACAAAAAGGAGCACAACCATAATTAAAGGTACCTCATTAGCTTTGATTTTATCGATACTTTCGGGTTCAGCACGAGCCACGGCCGTAATTAACCGCCGGCTGACGTAAATACTGGTAGGAGGAACCCGGAAGAGCCGTTCGGATCCATGAAAGACTAAGTTAAGCTTGAGTTTAGGGGTTCTGCGAGAGCGAGAAAGGGTTCCATTGGATAAGAGACGGCATGGGCAACCGCAGAGAGAAGTGACAGAGAGCGGAATCAGATTGTACCTACTGATCTCAATGAAAGAGGCCATAAAAGATTAGAAACAAAGAAAAAAAAAGATTGATTTTTTATAAATAATTATGAACGGAGAAAATGGGAATTCATGTTTTGGTTTGAGAATGAAATTCGTAGGATTGAGAGAGATGTGTTTTAACAAGATTTTTGAGGGTTCTTTTTTTCTTTTTTCCGAGAGGAGAGGATAGTCTTGTTTTTATTGTCATGTTCCTTGCGGAAATTCCAAAGATGGTGTTATTTCTTTTTTCTTCTACAAAATGTAAAAATCTATTTGTCCTGATTAAATAAAATTTATTTTCCTTCTTTAGAGATTAATTACAGTGTCTGGTTATCTGAATCTTAAATCTTCTTTGTTTGAAATTATGATTTTATTCAATTTCAATCCTTTGAAAAAGTTCCCATTCCTCAAAAGCAAGTCATCCAGCAACTATCAATTACATATCTTTTTGCTGATTTCTTGGACCTATGCCTATGGCAAACACGATAGAAAGAGAGCATGCATCATATATATATATATATATATATATATATATATATATATATATATATATATATATATATATATATTCCTAATAGTACTCACGTCTTATACCTCTCGACATGAAATTTATTTTCTAAAGTCAAGATGACATCGACCAATTCAAGAGGGCCAATAGTCTTTTGCTCGACTTAGTCGGCTTCATTTTGCTCCTCAACATCCTCCTCTGCTTCGTCTTCTGGGTCCTCCTCGGCTTCTTCTTCTGGATCCTCCTCGGCTTCCTTCAAATCATTGTTTGGTTCTGACCCATCAACTGGATCCAAGGACACTGTTTTACCTTCCGTTGTTGGTGTTGCAATAGTAGGGTTATCCATGGGGGTAATCACTGCCTTACTTTCTTTATCTAAAGCTCCATTCTTCACCTTAACAGTTCCTACAGTTGTTGGCGCTTCAGACTTAGCAGTGAAAGATTGTTGCCGACTCACTTCATTCTTTTCAGACTGTGATGCTTGACTATTTGCTTTGTTATCTCCCGCAGCTGGTGAGGCTTCAGACTTTGCTGCAGTATTTTGTCGCCAAGTTTCAGCTTCTGCCATCGCAGCCAATCCATTCCTCACTTCTGATGTGGCTAATGATCCTTGAGGAATCTCATGGCTGTACTGGTTTCCTGAACTCAATAATGGTGTTTGTGCTGACTCCAATGCTGCTATTGGTAGAGATACCAGATGGGCTGCTAACCCTGGGACTTGCGCTTGGGCTTGGATAAGGACACAAGTCAACAGCTGAGCTAAAGCAACTTGTGGGTCAGTAACACCTTGTTGAATTGGAGGGATCAAAGGAGGTGGTGCATCATTAATATTAGGTGGATAAAGTGCTTGAAGACCTGCTTCTCCATATAAAGCTCGATGCCCGTGAAACCTCTTCGTATTTGCAATATGCTTTTTACCGGCCAGATGACTGTTAAAAACCACCTGGGATTCACACTTGACATTGCACAATTCACACATAAAAGGAATAGCAAACTTTGGTTTGGGAGGCTCAAATGGCCTAGATCCTTCATTTCTTTTCATATATTTACCCCCACGTCCCCCTCTCATCTTACGCTTCAAGCCACAACTACGAGCTTCAGAGGCATTCGTTAAATTTGTTTTAGTTTCTGCAGGACCAGTTGTTGATGCTTCACGTTTATCCGCAATGTCCTGCTGCTGCTCAATTTCTTTCTTGTTGTCATTAGTGGCAGCCAAGGACGGAACCATATCCTGTTGGTGTTGTTTTCCCTCGAACCCCATATTAGGCACTTGCATACTTTGCTGTCCAGATATGACTTTGTTCCGCTTCTGCAACTCTTCTCGTGCCTGCAAGTTTTTCTTATGCCGCTTTCCATTCTTGTGCTTCTCTAAGATTTCGGGTCTGTTGCAATCAACCCTACAAAGTTCACACCAAGCCATACGTGGAGGTGGCCGGAGTGGAGCAGCTGGCACTTGAGATGTTAATGTTGCATGACCAGGAACTGATGCAGTAGGTAGCATTGCAGCAGCTGCTCCATTTGGATCCAAAACAGAATCTGGAGCCACAACATTTGGAGAATGCTGAATGTCATTATGGCCATGACCAGCATGACCCAATCTGCCCCCTCTAGAAGGCCTCTTACCCCTTCCACCCCTATACGCAGATTGCATCTGTAGAATAGTAGATCCAAAGATATCAAAATAGTTATCAGATTCTAACAAGATAAAATAATCAGCATAAGCAGGCCAAAAATAATCTCAACTGAAATGTAAATCAAAACCAATATAAAACAGAAACATAACAGAAATAAAGAGTTTAGACATACATGTGCCAACATGCAGATAAATTGACCTTATAAGTAATCAAGAAGATAACAAGCTTACAACTCATGTGCAATATATTGGGATATAGGTTTCGAACAATAACGTGAACAATTTGCACCGACAAGAAATACGGGCTCTTCCAATTTTATCTGCTGAAGCAATGAAGATAAAAGATATATGGGAAGAAATACGGGCCAAGGGAGATAAGGTGCCTTGGCAGAAATTGATATGGTTTCCCCTTCACATTCCTAAATTTAGCATGATTTCTTGGATGGCTATTCTGGATAGACTCCCAACTAGGGAGAGGCTTCTTCAAATGGGAATTGTTACCGATGGCTTATGTGTTATCTGCAATGAAGTTCTGGAAACACGGGGACAACCTGTTCGTCGAATGCACTTTGGCTGTTACACTATGGAAGGCTATTTTGAATCTCACCGGCTTGAACAAACCTCCATTGTCATGGGATAACATGTTAGCTTGGGCTTGTGGAGCTTGGAAAGGTAAGTATCTCCTTACTACTATCCTGAAGCTTGCTTGGAATGCTCTCATTTACTTTGTGTGGGAGTAAAGGAGCCGAAGATTGTTCCGAGGAAGTTCAAGAAAGGTTGAAGAGATTTTGAAATCCATTAAGGAGATTGTAGGTATTCAACTAAGGGGTAGGAATATTAATAGATTAGATAGCGTTAATACTTACCTTTGTAATTATTGGGGTATAGATTAACCATTTTTGTTGTAAGTATGTCTTCTTTTGTTCCTTGATTGGGATGACTTTGTAGCAGAACTCTGCTTCTTTGGGTAATAAAATTTTAATTATCCAAAAAAAAATTGCAGACGTTAGCTATAAGTTTATAGAATACGAGTACTTCAATAAGTTGAAAACTAAAGCTACTGTAAGAACATTTGAATAAAAAAATTGAATTAGAACTATAACAACGCTCTCAAAAATGTTTACCAAGAGAGAAGTCCGGGAAATCTTGCATAAAATAACAAATTAACAATTGCTTTCATGTACACAGAAGTAAATGCTTCAAGGTTGTAACAAGAAAAAGAAATACTATTTTGTTCAAAGCCATAACATAGTTGGAAGCTTCCCACAAGTACTTTTGACACACTGGATATTAAATGATTGATGTACTATTATCTCATTATGACTTAGAACTGATGGGATCTAAACGGAATGGAGATAAAGTCATATAAATAAGAAAATTATAGTACTTAAGGCTCAATGATTATGGAGATAAATATCCACCATAATCTCTATTCTAAAAAATCTCAAAGACAGTGCATTCCATCTAAAGTGTGGTAAGCACCAACACAGAAGGAGATAAGAGAAATTGAAACAGTGCATCCATAAACAATTGTTGCAGGATATGGTGGATACTATATGTCAATAAGAGGAAAATTAAAAAAAACAAATACTGCATCCTTAACTGTGCGGGTGCCAAAAAACAGTTGAAAATTGCCACACAATTAAGCAGCAGAAGAAGCTTAGAGATAGCTCATTAGTCATTATGATTATAATTATGAAACTAAAAATTAATCCGAATGATAGCAATCAAACCAAAAATGAAGGTTACAAAGTACTGAAGTTTTTCCCTCACATAAGACATTGGGCAAGAAAGATATCACTCGAGTCAACAGAGCACATCAGTAAATGGTGCTCTCTGGCGGCATGAGCCCCAAAGCAACCGGAAAAGTACTATTACTATTGATCCATAACATGGACCCAAAGCTACAGCCACAAGATATTGCAAACTTTTATGCTAGATATCACTGTCTTTATCCGGTTGCTCTGGCAATTTATAACCAGTTAAATTTTTTTAGTCTTCTAATATCTTGCAAGTAAGGGGGATGAGTGCCAAGAATTCAGTACCTATAAAGCTCTGTTGACCAATGGGCATTTGCATATTAGCCTGATGGAGAGCAATACACTTACTTCATAATAAATAACAGCATTACTATGGAAGCCAAGGGTTACATAACCTTCAACCTAGCACAAGGACAGTGTTTAACAAAAGACATCTTCAATTAGTATCTACAATTTGAGGCGAGCCAAGCTAACCAAAGCTCTGGCATCCTTGAGCTCCTCAGAAAAACAATAAGAAGTGGTTGAACTTGGAGCTAACTCGGAAGGAATCAGCAGAGCACCTCTAAAAAGAAGTATTTGCTGTACAATTCTGTTAAATTGCTATAAAATACCAAGGCTTTTAAACAAGAAGCAATCTAGGCTCAGTTAATGTAGCATTGGTACAATACAGAGAGAAAAACACGAATTCAATACAGCAACGATGTTAGCAAGATCACATATAGTTGCTTGAGCTAGCTCATTTAACTTTGAAATAGGGATGTGGTAATCTGAGCCAAGTCCAAGCAACTGATTCTGAATAGTCGAGATCTTAGCACCATGTCAACACATTGCGTCAATCAATAAAAATTAGTAACACATCTAAGAACAAGTTTCAGAATGAAAACATGTTTCAAACCGTGGTTCACACCATTTATGTGAAAATCGAATTCCCAATAACAAAACTTGTTCTTCTATGAATATCAAATTCAAAATTTTTCAATGTTCCATCTCAAACAATTTAAACATTTTGGTAATTTCCAATTCTTTCAGAAAAATGAATTCAGATAACAATGTTCAAGATTCATCTTTCAGGCTTATAAAAGAAAACGTATGTAGACGTACTCATAAAGAACCCTAACCTGACGAGGCCAATTATCCCTCCGAGCCAAATCCACATTCCCCACATAATTCGCCGCCACAGCGGAGGAATCAGAGCCCGAAACAGGAACTCCTTGCTGATGTTGAGGGTCCACAGAAGGCTGCGGTGGGTGGTAATAAACGGGGGGATGAGTTGGGTGGACCAAGGGGACGCCGGGAGGGTGAATGGGAGCGACTTCTTGATAAAAGTGGGAGTATTGTTGGGAATAAGAATCTTGAGGTGGGTAATAAGGGTATTGCCGTTGTTGATTGGCGTAGGCGTAGTACTGATGATGGTAATGAGAAGGATCGTATTCATGTGCCTGATTCTGGTATTGCGGCTGCGCCTGATTCTGGTATTGCTGCGGCTGATCGGCCGTGTATTCCATTGCTTTAGAAATAGAAGTCTCCGCTCAACATGAAGGAGAAGGTTCTCCGGAGTCCGGAGAATTTGCCAGTCGTAGCTCTATAAGAGATGAACTGTGAGGAACTGGTGTTTGTTTTCACTGCGTCCCAAACTATTTATGTCTGTATGACGTAAATATTAGACTTTGCATACGTTTTATTTTTTAAAGATAGAATCTATGTGAGTTTTTTTGGTACAGACTTGATTTTATGTCTTTAAAAATATTTAAACTTCTTTAAGAACAATTATAAAATATAGTTATTTATTAAAATAATTTTAAATAATTTAATAAGGTTATTTATTTTAAAATAATTTATTTTAAAATAATTTATTATAAAATATAGATTGATTTATTTTAAAATAATTTATTTTAAATAATTTATTAGTATAGATTGATTTATTTTAAATAATTTATTAGTATGAATTAATTTATTTTGAAATATGGATTGATTTATTTTAAATAATTTATTAGTATAGATTGATTTATTTTAAAATATGGATTGATTTATTATTGTAGATGTATAGATTGATTTATTTTAAAATATAGATTGATTTATTATTGTAGTTGTATGGATTGATTTATTTTAAATAATTTATTAGTATGGATTGATTTATTTTAAAATATGGATTGATTTATTTTAAATAATTTATTAGTATATATTGATTTATTTTAAATAATTTATTAGTATAGATTGATTTATTTTAAAATATGGATTGATTTATTTTAAATAATTTATTTGTATGTATTGATTTATTTTAAAATATGATTGATTTATTATTGTAGTTGTATGAATTGATTTATTTTAAATAATTTATTAGTATGAATTGATTTATTTTAAAATATGGATTGATTTATTTTAAATAATTTATTATTGTAGTTATATGGATTATTTAAATTTCAATATTATAAAACTAAAATTATTTAAATCTCAGTATTGCAAAACTCTTTTAAGTTTAAAAAAATCAGTTTATTTATATTTCAATTCATTTTAGCAGTCTGCAGAAGTTAAAAAACAAACAGTCTTCTTCTTGCAGACTGCACACTTTTAGTCCACCTCTTCTGCTGCAGATGCCTACAGATGTGGTCCGCAGACTGCGGACCTTTTACCTCTGCAAAAACAAACACCACCTTAATCTTTTTGTTTGAGAATTTTGCATTGGTCTGCCAGGAATTAGGGATGGACACCGGGCACTAATCCCACGGGTTAGGATCCGACCCGACTGTCATTTTTTAAAAAATATCAAATTTGATTAGGGTCGGATTACACATTTTAGCGGATAAATTCGAGACGTGTTCATATTTAAAATGAAAAATAGTTGATCCAAAAAAAATAATGTAATTATATCTTACATATTTAGATATAATTGTAATAATACATATCTCTTTATATATTTCTAACCATATCTTTATTTTATTAAATAAAATTGAAAATTATATATATAATATATTTGTATAGAGCCGAATGATATACAAATTTTATTTTAAAAGATGAGTCGAATCCCAATCTAATAAAATCATTCTAATCTAATTTATATCAAATTTTAGAAAGAGAATTTTTTTATCAAACCAAAACTAGATTAGTCGAAAAATCAATCTATGCTCATCCCTAACCAGGATTCTTACTTAAAAAAGTATGCTATTATGACTTTTTAACGTAGTACTAAACTGTGGCCGCAATGCCTGCATCGTAATATTTTTTAAGGTTATCGCGACGTAATATAGACGCAATGCGATAAGGGAATCACATCACAATTCTTGCGGTAAAAAACTGTTACGTAACAGCGCAACACACTATAAATTACGCCTCAACGTCGCAATAAATTTTAAGTTATCTGAAATATAAAATTACATAGATTAATTGTTATAATTTAATTCTTAAAACTGGATTATAAATATATATATATATATATATATATATATATATATATATATATCATTAATAATATCGTAAAGTTAGTTTAAAATTAGTTACTTAAATTTAAATTAATTAAATTATTTATTTTGGTGGTGAACGGTAAGATATAAAATTTTATATTTGTAGTTATGTATTTTTTTTCTAAGTTATGTATTTTTTTCTAAGTTATGTAAAATGAACATTTTTATGTTACAATATAAAAAATTTAATATGATTTTAATGATATTGTTTATATATTATTCATTAACATTATAATTGTTATTACTCATTATCCAATATGATAACACTTCTATGGTTTATATTTGTTTTTAATAAATTTTTATCTATGAAATTAAATTTTTATTTTCAAAATAAAATATTAAAAGAGTATATTAATATTAGTATATTAAAAGATAAATGTAAAATGGATAAATATAATATTTTAGATGTATTGTGATTTTTGAGAAATAGATCATACCCGCGACAATCGCAACACGTTACATAATGTTCACAACATCCGCAATTGTGACATCGCAACCGTGTACTCAACAAAATTCACAATCGCAATTTAATACCATGTTTTTTAACCAGGATTCATATTACCTTATTTTAGTAATATCTCACTTACGCCATTGTTGCTGAACTCTCAAGAAGCATGTTGAACGCTATAATGTTGAGGAGGCGTTATAAATATACTAGACCGATGTAAGAGGTAATTTAAACATTGTACTTGTATTTTCTTTTAAAAGAAAACCTCTTTGAATTTTTTTTCTTCCACTTCTACACTTTTATAATATTATTCTCAAGTAACCTTATTTAAACAACAACACAAAATTCACTCATTATCAATTAAAGCCTATTAATAAATGAAGTAATTAAAAACAATGTATCCGATTTGATTTTTCGATAAAAAAAATGAATCGAATTATATTGTATGATTTTTTTAAATAAAATCAAAATCAAAATCAAATGGTATAAAAACTAAAATTTTCACTTCAGTTAAGTTCAATTTTGTGATTTTTAATTGTTCACTGTTTTTTAAACTCAACATCCAAGTAAAATAAACTTCAAGCTTAAACCGTATACACACTCAAGTTTAAATTAAAATAAATTATTATTAGTTTTAATATTTTATTTATTTCAATGTCTTATAAAAAAAATCGAAATAAATTTGATTTGAATCATTATTTTTTTTAATTCGATTTGATTTAAAACAAATAGATTTCATATGAGAAAATCAAAACTAAATCAAAATATAAAGTTAAATGTCTAAATCTAACCGAAACCAAACTGTAAAATGAGAAACCCAAATTGAATTGAACCACATAATTCAATCCAGATCAATTTTTTGATTTCGTTGCTGAACCCTAGAACTTAGACCATAAAGGGAACAAAAGCATATTCTTTTGATCGTTTTAAATAATTATTATTATTCAATTTAGATAAAAGGAAACGTATATAATACTGGTACCGGCATAAAAGAAAGTACAGTTCCAATACAAGTTGGCAAGTAATAAGAGGTGGTTCCAATTTATTGGCGGAAGAGCTATATTGGTCTTTCGCTTTGGGTGAATGATGAATGGCCCTTTTACCTGTACAGCAAGTAACGCAGGCAGCTGAATTCTCCGGTCATTTTGGGACACCAAGTCAGGGAAATGGCCCAACAAGATTTGTACTCAGACCAATTCTCGGCCTGAATTACACCTCACCAAAACCCAAACTCAAGCCTCTGCCGTTCCCAGCTCCCCCACATCATCTTTCCCAAAAACCAAAATGGCGGGTGACGGTTTGATGAGTGCTACGAGAGCATAATCACCACTTCTCGATCCAAATGCCTCAAAACTTTATTTCTTGAAGGTCTTCCCCAGAACTAGGGTCAGTGTGAGGTATACGTAGGGCTTCTTGTGGAGGTTTTATTTCGTTCCAGGTTGTAGAGAGATTGGAACCATTACTCAGGCTTCCACTCCAAGATGCTATACGTCGAGAGTTGCCATCAGATGCTGCTGCTACGCTTTTGTGCACAATAGCATCCATGCTAGGAAACCGTTGCATACTCGTTGTTGTTGGTGGAGGTAAATCTTGCTTATAAGATGTTGCTGGACTTTCATTGCTCATGACTACTTCCTGAATGCTTTCCCCGGTATTTTGAACCATGTCTTCAGCGGGAGTAACCATAGAAGGGACGAAAAACTTGGGACTAGAACCAGCCATTGGTTTTGCAGATGGAACAGGAGACTGGAAAAAATTTACAGGGCTGCCTCCACCCTTGTTGAATGTGTCAACATACCTGAAATGATTTTGAAATGGTTCGCTATCAAAAACTTGGCTAAAACATTGAATAGAAACTAACAATAAAATTCATAATAAGAAAACACCGTGACAGGTGCAAGCTAAGGAGACTAAGCATTTAACAACACCGTGAGTGGAAGAGAGAAAGCACGCTTTATAACAAACAATAAGTTAATTAAATTATAATACCTTGAGCGGACACCCATTCGAGCACGAGCAGAGTACAGGTTTGAACTGGGTGGAATTGGTGGAATACCTGAGCTCCGTTCAGAAGAGTTGGAGCTTTTATTTTCACTACTTGCGTGAAAGCTTTTGGTTTGGGGGGTATCTTTTACACTCGGATCATTTACTCCATTCAGGAAAGTTGAGCTAGTGGGTGGAGGTGGCAATGCTGTTTCCTCTGCCGGAGGCTCAGCTCCTTCCTCAACCCATCTTTTGAGCTTTTCATCATAATAAAATTTGTTCTCCTCACCCAGTTTAGCCTGCAATTCTCACCATTGAATGCAGAAGAAGCTCAATATTCAATTGACATAAGATACGCGCATTAAGAATAATTTTCAGAAATTCAGAACTATAAATTACCTGGCGATCAGGTCGAGATCTTAGGACCAAACCAACAGTCTTTTGGAATAGCTGTGAGCCAAAACGACCAAATCGAGAAGGCCCACTTGACACTGCTGTTTTTTCTTGTTTCACAGATGAGTTGGCTTCACTGGATGAATTAACCTTATCAAAAACAAAGATCACACATAAGATCACAAGGATTCAAATGTTCTAAGGACAAGTAAAGTGTCTTTGAGAAAAGATCATGAAGAATTAAGTGTAAAAATGGTTGCAAAAAGATTCCACTGCATGTTTGTGTATAACGAAATTAACCAAAAGCTATTTAAGTAGTTACCTTTCTATCACTTTGACCAAAGTATGGCTCAGAGATGCTTCTACTAGCCATTGCTGGTAGGTCAGTCTGACTAGTCCTTTGACTAATGGGTTCCATTGACGCAGAAGGCATCAATGATGTCATGGCCATTGTCGATTCCTCTGATGAAGAAGATGATAGTGGTTGCATTAACATTGTAGGTTGACTGTCAGATGTGTTCAAGGCCCGTGGTTGGTGGGTAAATTCATTTTGATGAACACTGCTATGCGATGTAGAAGGAAGAGGTGGAGGTTGGCCTCCAACAACACGAGCAGTATTATCAAAAAACGTGAGCAATTTACCGACCAGTTTAGTTGGAGCCAAGTTTGTATAGTAACCACCCTGTACAATAAATTCTAGTCTCAATTCTATAAAGATAATTCTATAAAGAAAGAAAGGCTACAGGATGTAAGGACTAAGAGATACCTGCTGGTGGATTCTTAATCGTTCCTCCAGAGATGACACTAATTGTTTCCAAGTTTCCACTTCAGATGTTCGGCCAGTTCTCAAAGACTTCAAAATGGCTTGACAGTATCTGAATCAACATACCATGAAAAATGAAAAGATACTTAACCTACTAGTTACGTCACCAAATAACATATGTTCCTCAAGACTCACTTCAAAGAATCAGCCATTTTCCCAACTTCGGCCAGCATGTAAGCATAAATAAGCTTATATGGCTGAAAAGGTAGTAGGAGAAACTGAGAATTTCCAAGCACCTTTGAGTACTCATATAGTTCTGTCCTCTGCACAGATATCAAAAAGGATAGTTATACAGTGCTACTGTGGAAGGTGGAGATAAAAATGAATGGCAAAATATTATGTCCAATATCTGGTCAAAATTCAAATTAAGAACTACTCCATGAGAACCAATGAAAAAAGGAACTAAGCACAAAACATTTTTGCATGCCAGACAACGTGAAAGCAGCTGAACTGAAAAAGCTATCAGTAAGTAAAAAGTATGCAATAAAATAAAAGTCAACAGCTACATCATTATTTAAATGGTCCTACCAATATCAGAAGACAGAGTAATGCTTAAATACCTGAATTGCCTCGGGACTAGCATATGTTCGTGGACAATTCCAATGATCAGCACCAATAAGACAAAGTCTAGCACCATCTGAATAAGGCTCAAAGTTGGCTTCTGCAATTAAATAGCATATGTGCGCAGCAGCAGCCTGTGCAGTTTTTTTCCAAATAAAAAGAGAAATTATTCGGTGAACACAGAGAAAGGAGTTTTTTTTTATAAAAAAAATACAAGTGGGGAGAGGTTTGGAAGGGATAGAATGGTTTAAACTAGTAAGAACTGTATTACCTCACTCCTCTCCTTCCACAAGCAATCTCCAAGATGAATAATAACAAGTTCATCATCTTTTGTTCTATTAGCAGTTATGATGGCTAAGTTCTCTTCCCATCCATCCAACATATTAGCTGCAACCTGCAGTATACAATATATATTTGTATGAGCTGAGAAAAAATGGTTCAAAGACTCTAAGAAAGTGACAGGAAAAAATAGAAAAATGGAGAATGATCATTTCAGAGCAAGCACTCAAATTATGTACACCTGTCCAGGCTGGTTGGGAGTATTTACATAACCAGGGAGATCCCTACCGGAGGAAACTGTGGAAAACACATCTGCTGGTTGGCCTGCAACTACTAGGCATAATGTCCGCAATGGTGACCCAGCTTTTAATTGCTTGAGTGCCATTAGCTTCACGGTATCTCCATAAAGCTGGCATTTATAATTTCAATTATCAGAAGCAGAAATCAAGTCTCAAGTATTTCCATGGTGTATCCTGTACATATACATAAAATAGAAGAATAAATTTATTTATTATGTAAAATGTGATCACAGTAACCTGATCACCGAGCTGAGATGCAATAACAAGGGCTGGCCCCCACAGTTGACCTTCTCGTGCGAATTCTAGTGCTTCCTTCTTTCTACCAGAGACAAGAAGACTCTGTACCTCTAGAGCAGTAGCCTTAACCAATAATAGATCCCAATTATGGAAAATCTCAATGAAGTTTTTCCTTTTTGGAAAATGCGTGAAAAATAATATAAAATTAAAATTACAAGAAACTGAAAATGGTAGTCCATCCATACCTGAATCTGTGCTTCTGATGGCAAGTTCTGCAAGCAGTGAACAACAGCACTGTGTGAGCCTGATTGCACTCCCTTCCCTTTGACAGACCCTAAATGCTTAGTAATGGCTAACTCTGGGTAATCACTCTCCTGAAAGTGAAAGAAAAAAAAGGATAAAAGATAAGAAGAACAAAGAGAAAGAATAAGGTCAGAACATAGTAGAGTGTCCATGAGATATAGTTGCATAGTAACAATAAAAAAGGGAATTAACCATTTAGGAATATTTCACCTTCAAAGTTTGGTCAGTACCAAAAGGAGACCGAAGTTTTCCATAGTATTGACATGAAATTTTCAGTAAAGAAAAAAGCAACCTCAAAACTTCTCCTCTATAGCCCACACTTGAAGATTCACAGTGTGCAATCCTTTCATCAATCCACTTATACAACTCTTTATTTCCAACATTCCCACCAACCAGAGGACCAGGTAAAGGTTGTTGGCACAATGACTGGAAGTAATCTTGGGCACCAAATCCGAAGCTAGAAGCATTACTGTTGTCTGTGACAACTTCCACCAAATTTAGTACACTTATCACACCTCCTACAGAGCCCTTCACCCAAAAAAAAAAGAAAAAAAATTACCTGATGTTCACGGAAGCAGCAAAGAGTTGCAACAGAAAGGAAACTAGAACTACCTGAAATTAATCAAGAAAAGAATTTTTGCTACCTGGTTCCCATACGTTGCACTTGTGTGAAACAAATTGTTGTTGCTCATGACCACAAGTTTTCCACCAAATCCAAAAGTCACTAGTGCATGGGGATGGCGCCCAGCAGAAGACCTTCCCTCAATGGGTGAAGAAGAAAATGAAGTGCCTATTTGAAGTGGCTTTTGAGAATGATTTCCTGATTTCTGAGCATCAATGAAAGCCGGTGTGAATTGCATATGTTGCTCTGGCTGAACAGTTGTCTGATTATTAAATGGAGTATAACTCTGAGCTGGAATAAAACTGTCAAACCTAGATATCTCACCACCAGGTAGAAAAGTCTGAGTTTGCTGTTTATAAGGATCAACCGATCTAGAAGGTTCAAATCCATTTTGTTGATCTGCATGATTATCTACATGATCTGCAGGACTGTAAATGTTTCCTAATTGCTTGGTTTCCGAAGAAAAACCTGTTTCGCTCTTCCAAACTGAGTAATCTTGGAAACTATTTGAAAATTGCTGATGGTAGTTGCCTGCAGATTCACACTGATTCATATAAAAGTCTTGACTACCTAAAGCTTGGAACTCATCGCTTTCAATATTTTTATTTTGATATAGCCAATCATTATTCATGATTGTTGACTGTTCTACAGTTGGAGTATAAGACTCCAACATCTTCCATTCTAGGGCAATTGTATCATAGTACCAACCAGGGTACTGGGGATCAAACACCATGTGTGCAGGGTAGTCTGCATTTCCTTGTGAATTCCAATTCCAGTTTGAGGTATCTGAATTCCCAAAGTCCTCGGAGAAAGTTCCTGCAGCAGACTGATTTGTTTGCTGCAAAGACTGTGCGTCCATTTTTCCATCTGAAATAAGATAACCACTATCTGAATGTGTCACACCAAACCTCTCCTGTGAATTCATTACTGTATTCAGATATCCCTCTACCTGATACCATTGCCCGCTATTTGGATCATATTTCCATCCTGGATAAAGATTTTCCCAGTACTGATAACTGCTAAAATCCTGCCCATCTACATTTTGTTCTAATCCCATGCCATAGTATTGACCATCATTATTTTGTGGATGACTAGATGAAGCCAAATCAGAAAATGTATTCTCTGATACACCAACTGTCGCATCAAATTCCTTGACCATATCATCCTTATTCCCCACTTCAGAGAAAGGGTCCTCAGAGTTATCCCCAAGATCATTAAAAATTTCCGAGAATGGCCTAGATCCACCACTATAATGAACATTTGAATCAGAGTCAAATGAGCTCCACTGAACCTCTTTCACACCAGTACCTGAAGCTATATCAGTCTTACAGGAACCACTATCCAACACACCCTCCTCTCCCATCCCTGTCACACTGCACTCCTTCGCAGTACTAGGTATCAGTGAACTGCTCTTATTAGTAGCCACATTACCCACATTAGCATCCAATAATGCCGAAATATCAGCATCTTCTACACCCTTTTGAGCTTCTGTACCAATATCAACATCCTTTTCGCCGGACTCAACCCCAGAAGGACTTGTTTCACAAATAATCAAATTAGCATTACTAGATACCAGTGAACTGCTCTCATTAGCTGCCACATTACCCTCATCAGCACCCAATAATGCCAAAAAATCAGCATCTTCTACACGCTTTTCATCTCCTGTACCAATATCAACATCCTTTCCACCAGACTCAATCCCAGAAGGACTCGTTTTATTAATAATCAAATTAGAAAAAGCCTTTACTTCTTCGGAATCAGCAGCTTCTACTACATGTTTATGGGTGGATCCAGAAAAATCAAAGTTGTCATCATCATTGACCAATTTATCAAAGAAATCCTCATCCAATTGATCCTCCACTTCAAATGGAGGAGAAGCCATCTATAACCCGGGGGGGGGGGGGGGCTAACACTTCCTATTAATTCTCCACTTCTCTCCTATAAACTAAACAACACTTTTCATTGTGTAAATATCAATAAACGGTTCACCGAAATCTAAAACAACCCAAATCCAATTAAACCCTGAAAATCAAAAGAAAAAGGGATTGTAAAGATTTCTTTTCAAATCAAATAAAAACAATTATAGAAAAAACATAAAAAGTTGAATCGCGAGCTGAATGAAAGTGATTAAAGAGGATCGCTGCGGGAAATAATTGAAAGGAGATCGAGAGAATTACCTGGGAATATATAGAATTGGCAAAAGGAGGGAGAATTGAGACAAAAAAAGGAAATTGGCGCAGTAGCAAACAGATTTGCCGCAACCCGTAAACACTAAAAAGTAGGGAAGATTGCTCTTTCTTGATTTCTTCCCATTTGCCTTCACGTGTTCTGCATTGACTAAAAGTTTTTTTTTTTTTTGGAAGGGAAGGGGGGGGGGGTGTTAACAACTATTAAAAATAACATATAATGAAAATAAATGTGGGTTAGGTATGAAGTGAGACCATTAGTAATAGTTTTATTCTTACTATAATTCTATTTAATATATGCACAAACAGTAATAAAAAGAATTGTTATTATTTTTTGAGATTTTTGATTTGAGTATTATGAATGATAGGAGTAAGAATGTTTAATGTTAAAAGGATATTACTTTATATTTACTCCAGATTAATCAATATATATAAAAGCACGAATCAAGTGACTTCAATTGTAAAAAGATTTATTGTTATCTTTTAAGATTTTAAGTTCAAACACCGTATATGTAAAAGCACGAATCAGGTGTATATGATATTATAGTCCTTTTAAAAAAAACCATCAAAGAAATGAAAATTCATTTTTTTAAAAAGAGGTGATTTCATGGTGGGCTGCTTTTCCGATTATTTTATTCAAAATCATTGGGCTAGGCCCCAATTATGTCGAGCAATCTTTGGTTCAAGCACGCAATTAGTGTGGGTTTAGTAGATTTCCCGTATTAGGACACATGGGCTTTATCGTTGTAACGTGGGCAACGGGCATCACTTAAAATGAACTTTGGAATTTTATTTGCATATATTTAAATGAAAATGTGCAAAATTTGTATAAATATTTATCACTCTATATGTAATTAATTTTTAGGAAAACAAATAATTTCATGTATTATAAAATTTTATAATTAATTCATATATAATAATTTATAACCATTTGATAAATTAATAATACAAAATTATACACACCAATACATTAGATATTAACCCCGTCAAAGAAATGGTATTTAGTTAAAGAACTGTTGGAAACTTGAGCAAATAAAGTTGATCAAACCGTTCATCTTTAGTATCTAATATAATGCTTAGATTACTATTTGTTTGTTTCATCCTATGGAGTAGCTTTGACTGCTATTTCCAATGTTTTTACCACATGACTTTAACCCTAAAGCACCTTGATTAAGACCTTAAATCAGTAAAAGCTGAGCTACATACGTCACCTTAATTAAAAAAAGCTTTCTTTATAGTAACATGCTTAACAAAGATTTCCATTACAATTACCTGTCTTAATCAAGTTCTTAATTAAGTCGGTAACAAAATCCAGAGGCAGGAGGGCAAGTCGGTAGCCTAACTTTCACGGTTCCAAGTCCATTGCGCAATGAGTAGGCGTGATCTACCAATGGCAGTGAATATTCAGAAACCTATGGAAATTTAGTAACAAAAAAACAAAATGGGGACTCATTGTTTTGTGCTGAGCTTCTCAAAGGAAGTAAAGAGCCCCCACTAAACCAACCATTTCTACCCACTACCATTCTAGTACATTTGCTATTAGAAAACAGTATTACTATAAAATAAAAAATGTTAACATTAATTAAAAGTGATAATGAAATAAAAAAAAGTAAAATGATTATTGTGGGGGTGATAGAAGTGATTGTTTTAGAAGCAATTTCGTTCAGATTGGTATAATCTCAAAAGTGAACATTACTCTCCGAGACTAATTCATCCTTTCAAACCACTTCAACCACGAATAACACAATCCCTAAAAACAGTCCCCCACTATTTACATTACTAACATCTGTAACCTTTTTAACTACGATTTTTTATTTATTTTGAAATCAATTTCTTTTCGGGAAAGAAAGATGTTTTAACTTCACCTAGGCTTGCTATTGGCCTGCCATAGTCGGCTGTCAATGGGTTGTTCTTCCTTCCATCATTTCTACGATGAAGTCAAATTACCAATCAATTTTATCTACGATGAGTCAATAGTTTGCTATGTATTCTAACCTAACGTGCAGAAAAAGATACATGTATGCCCTTTGCCTGCCTTTATCTCAATAATTTTGATGAGGGTATTTCTTAAAGAGAAAATCGCCTCAGTGACCAAAAAAAAGTTATAATATACGATTTTAACCAACTTTTTTTGGATTTGCCAAAATGACCAACAAAATCGCAACGCGAAATAAAAATCGCAACGCGATCCCCAGAATCGCAAATCAGTTTCCAAAATCGCAACGCGATTCTTGAAAATCGCAATGCGATAGTACAAATTCGCATTGCGATTTTCCAAAATCGCAACGCGAATATGAAAATCGCAACGCGAACACATAAATCGCAACGCGTATCCGTAAATCGCAACGCGTATGGGTAAATCGCAATGCGTATCCGTATATCGCAACGCGTATCCGTAAATCGCAACGATAATCCGTAAATCACAACGAGAATCTGTAAATCGCAACGATAATCCGTAAATCGCAACGAGAATCTGTAAATCACAACACTGAAATTTTGGGTATATAACACTGAAATCATAAACTAAATCCCTAAATCGCAACTCATTCCATCTCCATCTATCACTCTCTCCGGCGACATCCGTTCCTATATCCAACGACATCCTTCCCAATCCGGCAACAGGTTTTAGTTTCGCAGCTCGTCTGTTTAGTAAATTAATTTACAACCATGAAATCATCTAATGTTGATCATGTTTGGATAGATTTGTGTTTTGGAGGGTCATGGGATAATGTTCATGGTGTTTTACAATATATGCCTTTACCCATGAATCTTCAACTAAAATTGTCTTTACAAAAGTTAACTTATGAAACTCTAATGCTACGTGTTTCAAATAAATTGAATTTAGAGCCCCTAAGTGGATTTAGGCTATCTTATCAGAGAAATGGTAAAGTTTATTTGTTAACCGACAATGAAGATGTTGAACGATTCATTGCTTACATTAGTGTTTCACAAGATGATGTTACATTGTATGTTGTTGAACCTAGAAGTAGTATTGTTGGGTCAGTAGCGGGTAGTAATCAACTAAGTTTTTCTCAAAACCCACAACCTTTCTCTAATCCAAATCCCAATCAACTTTCAGCACCAAATTCCGATTTTCGTATTGACCAGTTAGACGATGATGAGCCAACAGAAAAAATTGTGAGTACTAGTCAGTATTCGAAATTTGGTCTTGGTCAATATCCGGACTTTGATATTGGTCAATACACGGATTTTGATGATGTTTCAGAAGAAGAAACAGACCCTGCGTGTAATGATTTTGATATTGGTCAATACCCGAATTTTGATGATGAAACAGCCGTTGTCGAAGAATGTATTGTTGATGATAATGAGGAGGAAGTTACGACTGTGAATGAACATGTTGAACATCCATTCTGTAATTCATATAATCCTGAAGAAGAAAAAGAAGAAGAAAAAGTCCCCGAAGAAAAGAAAATGCCACGGGCGTATAACTGGAATATGCCAGAATTACTTCAGATACCGGAAGAAGAGTTGGTAAAGAAAGCAGTTGATTGTTACACAAAAGTTATTCGTATCAAGAAAGATGATTGTTTTGATACAAAGGAAGACTTGAAGATAGCTTTGTATACGAAATGTGTGGAAGATGGCTATCAACTAAAAGTTAACAAATCAAGCAAAGATCGTTTCGAAACAAGGTGTATGATTGACAAAAACTGTACGTGGCGTATGATTGCAAAGAGAATAAAAGATTGCGAAATGTTTCAAGTTAGGACTTTTATTGATAAACATACATGTTCAAGAACCCAAGTTTTTCCTCACCATAGACAGGCAAACAAAAAGGTGTTGGGTGGTTTTCTGGCTGAGTTAATGTTTTTGAATGGCATGGTATATCGGGGACATGAAATTATGACTGACATGAATGCTCGGTTCAAGATTAGTATATCATATTCTCAAGCTTGGAGAGCCAAATGTTATGCCTTGGAATTGTTGAGGGGGTCGCCAGAAGCATCGTTTGCCCAACTGCCGGCTTATTGTCACAATTTAAAGCTGAAAAATCCTGGGTCGGTAACTCATATCAAAACAGATAGAGATGGACGCTTTGAGTTGTTGTTTATCGCCATTGGTGCTACGGTTAGTAAATCAATATAATTTTGTTGACTCATTTTTGTTAGTTACATGCATTTCACATTTAAATGATTATATTTCTTGTGTATATTATTTTGTAGATTCGTTCGTTTATTACTTGCATGCGCCCAGTTATTATAGTTGACGGAGCACATTTGAAAGGTCGATACCTTGGAGTAAACTTATTAGCAGTAGCCATGGATGCTAACAATGGGATATTGCCAATAGCTTACGGGGTTGGCAAATCTGAAACCTCTGATTCATGGACATGGTTTATGGGGCATCTTAGGGATTGCATAGGTCCTATTAGCAATCTGACAATCATATCCGATAGGGCAAACTCAATTGACAACGCTGTTAGAAGGTGTTTCCCAGATGCTTTTCATGGACTTTGTGGTGTTCATTTGTATAGAAATCTAAAATCAAGGTCTGCTGGTATAAAAAAGCACAAATGGACATACTGGAAGGCTGTAAAAGCTTATCGGGAAGTGGATTTCAATAAGCATATAAATTGTTTAAGACGTGTTTTGCCTCAGTGTGCTCAAACACTAGAAGATGTCGGGTTTGAAAGATGGTCAAGAGTACATCAACTTGGAGCAAGATATGGTTTCATGACGTCTAATAGTGCAGAATCAATCAACGCTCTAAGTCGTCATTCCCGGAAATTACCCATTACTATGTTAATGGAGTTTTTTCGAGCCTCTATTCAACAGTGGTACTACAAGAAAAGAAACCATGCAGGTATTATTTCTTTGAATTCGTAACTTATCATATTTATATATTTTACTAAGTATTGTTTATTTAAATTTACAGGAACATTGGAACATCGTGTTACACCATGGACTGAAAAAAAGATAACGAAACGTGTTGTGAAGTCAACGTCATGGAGAGTTGAACCATGTTCAAACACTTTGTTTCAAGTACTGGATAATAACTTAAATGGGCTAGTCGATCTAAATGCAAAGACGTGTAGTTGTATGAAATGGCAAACATCTGGTTATCCGTGTGGCCATGTTATAAAAGTTGCTCTTCATTTAAACCAAGATGATTCAAGCGCATACGCTATGGATTGCTACAC